GGCGGTCGGGGAGCCCGGGGCACGTGGGGCTCAGCTGTCGCGCCCGTGCCAGCAGGTCCCGGTCCCCAACCTGCCCTCGGGCGTCCACGAGGCCGGCAAGGCCGTGGAAAAGGCAGACGCCATCTTCTCCCAGGAGAGGGACCCCCGCTTTGCCGAGATGTTCGCGGGCATGGGCGCGTGTAAGTCCTCCGCCGGCGCCACCCGGGCTGCACCGCTGCCTGTCCCTTGGGAGCCGCCCGGGCAGCAGAGTGGCCTCGCCCAGCGGCCCCGGGTGGCGAGTGGCCAGCTGGGCTGGGGCAGCCTGGGGCCGCGCAGGGGCGGGTGGGGGGTCTGGCCAGCGGAGCGGGAGCAGGGCGGTGGGCAGCGCCGTCCAGGTCTGCGGCTGGGACCCTGCTGACCCCGGCCGGGTCTGTGTCCCCAGCTGAGAAGAAGATGATGAGCTCGGCGGCGGCTGCCGGGACGCAGCAGATCTACTCCCAGGGCGGCCCGTTCCCCGCAGGGCATGCCGGGAAGGCCTTCAGGTAGGAGCGGGCGGCGGCGCCAGCTGCCCCGTGCCACGAGCCACGGCCGTGTGGCACCAGCTAGACAGCCAGCCGGGCCGCCCGGGGAGTGGTAGGAGCTGGCCCCAGCCGGGACCTAGGGCCTGGGACAGGGACAGTGGCACGTCCAGGGAGGACAGAGCGACTTGACCGTCAAAGCCGAGTCTGTTGGAGGATGTGAGGGCCCAGCAGCTGCCGCCCGCCGGCATAAAGGTTCTTGGCATAAAGGGCCACGTAGGTCACTAAGGAGCCCTGTGGGGACACTGGGGAGCCGAGGGGGACAGTGGCAGCCCTGGGGTGCAGACTCGCGTGACCCCACTCAAGGCCAGCTCAGTAGGGGGGCGGGCTTGGCCCCTCAGCCCCGGCTAGGAGCCAGACACCGTGGCCAGACACGGAGGGCTGCGCCCACCACGGGACAGCCACGGGGCAGCGGCCGCTCGGCCGGCCCTGCTGGTGGCGCCTGGGAGCCGCCGCGGCGGGCATCTCGGACAGCGGCCACTCCTCCCCAGCTCCTCCGTGGTGCACGTGCCTGGCGTGAGCGACATCCCCGCGTCCTCGTCGGCCGGCCAGAACATGGCCCAGATCTCGCGGCAGCTGGGCCAGAGCCAGGTGGCCTGGACGGGGAGCCGGCCGCCCTTCCCGGGTCAGGTATGGTCGGCGCGGGCCGCGGGGCTGCTGGCAGCCGGGGCTGGCCATGCTTTCGGGGGCTGTGTCCACATCCAGGCAGGCGGAGCCCACAGGCTGGCGGGGCCGGCCGGGCCGGGGAGCCCGCCGTGGACGCTGTCTCTGCCCCGTCCTGACACAGCAAATCCCCTCTCAGTCCAGCAAGACCCAGTCGTCCCCCTTCGGGATCGGAGCGAGCCACACCTACCCGGCCGACCCCTCTTCCTACAGCCCCCTGTCCAGCCCCGCCACGTCCTCGCCCAGCGGCAGTGCCTACTCCAGTCTGGCCAACAGGACACCAGGGTTCGGTAAGTGGTGGAGGGCAGCGGCGGGCGCTGGTCCCGCTGACCCAGGGATTGACGCCCGAGGGCTACGGCGCGCGTGGGCGGGGCCTCGTGCAGGGCGGGCCTTGTAGATGGGTGCGGCCGTGTGGGCGGGGCCTTGTGGTGGGTGCGGCCGTGTGGGCGGGGCCTTGTAGATGGGTGCGGCCGTG